GTCCCGCTTTGCCCCCGCACCCCGGCAGCGGGCGGGGGGTGCTGCGTCTGTCAGGCTGTGCCGCCGGGATTCGCCTTCGGTCCTCACGCACCGGGTGTCAGGCTTTCATCTTTTGTGTGACCGCGTTCGTGCTTTTGACGTTCCGCTCCGAGAACTCGCGGGTTGGGGGGGGGGGGGGGGTGCTGGAAAGCGAGGGAGTTTGATTGAGTGAGGGGCACCCGGCTACCGCCCGCCCCTCCCCGCCGTCTCCCCCTCAGGCCGATGCTCCTTCACCGGGGAGCGCGGGGTGTGGGGCCGTGGTCTGGCCTCAGCCCCCGGCTGAACCCAGAGCCGGGGCGGGCTTGGCTCGGCGGCGGGTCCGGGAGGTCGTTTAGCCCGCCTGTGTTGGCTGAGCCGGGCTTCCTCCTTTTCCCTGGGGAAAAGACAGCGGGCACCGTAGGGTAGGTGTCCCGTGGGTGCCATTTTCAGTGTATGGTGGTAAAGAGAGCGATGGGGAGCTCGGGCTGCAGTTTGGGATTGCTTAGCTGGGGTGCAGTTGTTGGGGAGGAGGAGTCCTGAGGCCTGAGTAAGGCTCTCATGCAGGTGCAGCTTCCTAATAGAACCCTTTCTTTTTTCTTTTTTTTTCTTTTTCCCCCCAAGAAGAGCCGTTAAGCGCTTTTTCACTGTGGCGTGTGAATAGTGCACAAACATGGACTGCACTGACAGAAGTGTTCTAAGCGTACTGTAAAGTTCAATTAAAATACACTTGCAAATCTGAGGTGATACCTTTCTAACAGAAAGCCAAAGAATAATAGCCTTCCATCATAGGCAACTGAAACTTTGGATGAGAGAAGACCGAATATGGAAAAATGGCAATTTTAAAAATAAAGTTCTGGAAGTGGTTAATGGAATGCTGCTGCTTTAGATTAATGGAGAAGTCCAGGGATTTTTCTGTAGGAGTAAATTGCATTCATGTGTGTCTTGGAAAACTTAAACTCTGAGTTAACAGGATGTAGTATCAAAGTGATTAATAACTGAAAGGTAGCACACTAATTCAGGTGGAGGATTAAATGCTGGGAAACGAGCTCTGATTCTGACTAGCTGGCTCTGCAACCTTAAGAAACCTAGAGTATAGCTAACTTGAAAAGGCAATGTTAAAGCCTTTCTGGGTATTACAGCTGCCACTGAGCTCTTCTAATATTTGTGGGTTTAGTAGTCGTGTTTTCTTTTTTTTTTTAACTTTCAATTTATTTATATTATATATTTGAGATATATGAGAAGAAGTGGTAATAAAAATGCCCAAAATGCTGGTTAAATGTTTTTTGCTGTTCTTTGCTATAGTAACCCTAAAATTACTGCTTGTAAGAACAGCATAGAAGAGGCAGAGGTTTTACTGTTTCATGAAAAAAATGAAATTTGATGTCTAGCTTATCTGTTTCATTTTAGTCATTGGCAATGGAAAGACGTTGCAAGAATTACATTGATGCTACAAAGCACCGTAAAGGACATGTCTTCGAAATCCCTACAATAACAATAGTATTATAAACGCAAATGGCTAGTAAAGCAAAAGTAAACATGATAAAAAGATAGCTAATGTGTCAGAGCTGGTAATGATCAAAGGGAGACCTTGATCCGTAAGAAAACTGACTGGTAAAAGGAAGTGCAAAGTTTCAGTAGGCAGCCAGATAGATTGAAATGCAATATAATATGGCCCAAATGCAACTGTACTATATACTCGGAGGTTTTACTTCATGAAGCTTGGAAACTGGATTATTCTCCCTGTTTTTTTGATTTTCTTTTTTATGGCACCGGTGAGGTCACTCTTAGTTGCTTTTGTGTAACTTTAGGACCTTGGGTGAAAGTAAGATGTGAATGAGTTAGAAAAAAAATCAAAACCCATCCTAAATCATTAAGATAAGCTGATTTCCTTGTGAAAATATCTAGCTAAAATATCTCTGAGGGGTGGAGGATATTTAGCCTTAGTTCTTAAGTTAAGGGGTCTTTAATGACAGAGAAAAACTTTTTCCAGTGCAGGCAACAGAAACCTAGCAGTGATGCATATTTATAGTGTGCTGATCACTGGGGGATTTTGAGCCTCATGTAGAGGAATTCTTCTTTGGTTGATCATAGGGACTGTTTCAGTATTTCAAATTTGCAAGGTGTTCCTGTATAAAAGAGAAAGAATCTGGCTACTTTCTTCTTATAGTCAATTTACAGTCTCGGGAGGCTGAGGGCAATAAGAACCTTGTAGCTCTACAGAAATTCCACTGAGATCCTGTCACTTCATGTTTCAAAAACTTGGCATATAAACTTTATGAAATAGTAAAATGTGTTTATATGGAGCTTGGCAAGCTGTTCGATAAAATGCTTGTAAAAAAAGTGGCTGCATTGCTTAGATCTCCATGAATGGCTTGGGCATAAAAGCAGTTTTTCAACAAAGTAACAGCTTAGTTTGGCTTTTTCAGCCTAGAGTGGAGTATCATTTGGCATGTTTCTAGTGAGCTGATTGATTTCTATGAAAGTTAAAAGATTTTTTTTTTTAAATAGGCAGTCAGGTTTGAACAATGTTGGTGTGACATTTGCATGTACTGCATGAGCATATTTTTAAAGATGTTGAGCACCTGCAGCTTCCATTTACTTTAGGAGTGTTTGTGTGCTCTGATGAGGTCTAGCGGTATTACCTGCATTATGTATTTAGCTAAATTAGGCACCTGGGTTTACAAAACTTTCATTAACATTTTTGCAGTCCAGAAGGGCTAGAAAGTAAGGGTCTTTTATATAAGCTGTCTAGTGGTTTATTTCAGTGTACACAAAAACTGGACCAGTGGCTTTGTGGGGGGGAAGTAGTGATATAAGTCTCATGATTGCAATTCAGTTGTCAATGTTAAGTTTTGAGCTCTTTATGTAGCTGGAAAACCTGTTACAATTTTTGTGTGTGTGTGTACTACCTCAAAACGTCATGTTGGCTTTTGCTCGTGGTTTTCTGGACACTTGTTCACGTTTATCCAGTAAAACCAAGAAAGCGATTTTTCCAGTCACGTTTAGGGAAGTGTGATTTTTGTTTCCTGCCTTACCTCTCCTCGTTATGTTCCTTGCTGCTTCTTTGGTCACAGTTTAAGCCATGATGTTGTGCTTAGTTGTTTCAGTTCCTGTATCCCCTTATCATATGGGAGGCAATTTTTAGGAAGAAATGAGGGTTGGAAATTCTGTTTGTTCTATATCCCTGAATTACTTCCCTTTACTCTTCAGGAAAGATCAGCCGGTCAGTCCAGGCCACTACAAAGTATTTCTGTTCCTTCACCAGGATGTCAACTCACCTGCAAGAGGATGTTTGGGCAAGTCAGCAAGCTGAAAAGATACTGCTCTTGGTTAGTCAGGAGCGTGCAAGGAGTAATGGGATGCACGAGTGAAGTAGAAAATAGGCCACTCTGTTCTTCTGTAGCAGCAACAGCCAATGTAACACTTGCAAAAGCTGAAATCTTCCTGTGAATAAAACCTTTCTAGTTATTGCTGCTTGCTTCTGCTTACTTTTAAACAAACAATTGAGCTGGCTGCTTTCTGTCACGCTACGGCTATGTTATTTTTCTTTGACTCGCTACCTGGGTTTGGGCAACAGAGATGATTAAAATGAAATTACAAACATACTTTTTTTTTTCTTTCCAAGTAACTATGTAGGTAATATTTTTAATCTGTATGTTTCAAAACACCTCTTAAAAAGCAGGTATGTGCTTTTTCATCTTGTTACGGAGGGAATGACGGAAATACAGAGTGCTCAGCTTCCAAGATGATGGCAGCAGAAGAGCCAGGAGTTGTCCCCTGGGCAGCTGCCAGGCTCACCACCTGCTCAGTAGCTGGTGCTGCTCTGGCAGACCCTCCTTATCCTTTGGCAAGTATAAAAGGTTTGGCACTGCCCTGTACTGTACAATGTATCAGCTGAATGAAGTGTGTAGATTTATATGCTAATATAGTAATACACTTTTTTAAAAAATAAAAGTCAGTCGCTATTTGTAATTTCTCAGATTACTTTGTTGTTAATGTATCTGTAGCTCTCAAGAGAATTGGTACAAAATGAGCTTCACCTTAGCTGCCAAATACGGAATTCCTTTCTGGAAGTTGGGCAACAGTGATGCAAGTCCAAAAACATCACTATAAAATACAGGCATAGGAGGGGAGAGACAAATGAAATCTTTTCACTGTCCCCCACATTTTTGAGTACTGTAAGCTTGTGACTAAAGAGGAGAGTCTGTTTTCCTCTTTGGACTGATATTGGTGTGCAGAAGCATTAATGTAAAGTTCTTAACGGGGATCTGAAGTGCTTACAGCATCCAAGTCCACACAAGAGTCAAGTGAAAATTAGGGCATGGGAAGAGAAAGGAAGATGAAGTACATAGCCAAGGCAAGTGTATAATCAGAGGAATGCTGGCTGTGGTCCTGGCCATGTAACCTTTCGTTTGTTTTAGTTTTTTTTATTTGATGAATCTTATTTGTTTGAAGCAGAAGTGGAAGAATATTGATTAAGAGACAAAAAATAGCGTGCTGTGAGGCATGGCTCTATTGGAAAAACAGGCTTTCTCCTGGGGCGACTTGCTGTGGTTGGG